AATAATACAGATATTCACGCTGAAAGAGCTTTAGGTCCCAAAACACAAGAACGACTCTATGCTTTGGATTTATACAGCTCTGCTTCCACTGGCTGGTTGAGGATGTTTTGCCATCAATTGCACACACGGGTACAAAACATCATTAGCAATCACCCAAGTAATTTGATCTCCAGTGGGGCATCTGTCAGGAATAGCCACATGTTGCTAATGCTCTTCTGAACTGGAGGCTGCTGGTGTAAATAAAAATAACAAGCTTCAACATCAAGACTCTTCAAAATTCAGCACTGAATTATGTATCTGGACTACATGATAATTTTATTTTATTTCCTTCAGCGCCATCACTTTTAGTAAAACCTCATGGAGAAGGCTTAGTTTTTACTTTCTGCTTGTATATACTTAATTTTAATAACTCGGCCTTTCTTATTTCTGACAGTGAAATGACTTTTTTTTTTTTCATTAGAAAGAATAATTCCTGATGTGTTTCGCAAAGCAAGACCACAGAAGACACTTCATGCATGCGACAGAATCCTGCGTGTCACAACCCTGCGTGTCCTGAATTCTCCCGTTAAAGCAGCACAACTCTTCCCAGTCAACTTTAACAGGCACCAGTGCCCATCCCAAGCCACGGGGGTGTGTGGGTCATCTCCTGTGACTTCAACCTGCCAGCCATCGGGCGCCTGGGATGGGTCCTGGAAAGAGGATACAGGCACTTCCAGCAACAACCCTTCCAGCCGCAGCAGGTTTTTAAAGTAGGTGGGCAAAAATCACCCACCTCATTTCATCACCTACAGAGAAATTATGCTCCTAGGGCTTTAAACATAGGAACTAGCAACTCATTTCATGTGTATCTGTCTCAAGAGTTTGCTGTAGCTGGGTACGTAGCTTCCAATGATGAGAATTCATATATGCTAATCATTGTTTGTTTAAAAATTCAGTTTCATTGATTACTAATATAAGCAAATTATTGGAAGTACTCAAGTAGTATCATGAGACTACGAAAACGTTTGGTAATTTGTAAAAATATAGTATTTATGGAAAATAAAGACTTACCAAAATAACAGAAAGATCATGATCTACCCAAAAGACTCTAAAGTAACATTCCTGCCTTTCGACCTTCCTCCTGGTTACTCTGGGAATTTAATTACCCTCTTGTGCTATTCCTTGCAAGCTCCTTTTGTTCCTTAAATCTTCAAAATAAAATTTCTTTTTTCAATATTAGCTGGAGCTGAGCCACTTTTTCTTACAGGACCTCTTGCACAGGAATTATGTACAGAGCACCACATGCTGAAGACCACTGCCATATTTATTTAAGCTTATAGACATTTTTTTAGAACCTATCAGAAAAAAAGGTTTGAATTATAAGGAACGTATGCTCATCTCACCATTACTTGTCAGCTGAAGAGTCAATCAGCCAAGCGAGTGTACGAACAAAGATTTATATTTAGAGGACTGAATAGAAGAAGGCTGCAGTTAAAGCATAAAGTCCTCAGAATCTAGAAAAGGCCAAAGCTAAGACTGCTCTCTTCTCAGAAAAAGCTGTTTTGACTGAAATTGCTGTATCACAGTAAATCTGAACAACATGCCCAGCATTCAGTGTTCATCCCAAATATTTTAAGTTTGGCAACATTCTAAGGAGCTGATAACAACGCAAGTGTGAGGCAACCAGCTTCTCCTACAATTACCTTTCCCTACTTTACTACTATCATTTTAGTTGGATGGAGAAAGTCAATACCTTTCCAATGAATTAACTAACTGGAGGATATGCCATAATCTTTATGTTACATACTGTATTCTATTCCACCACATTCCTTCCCGGAAAAAAAAAAAAAAAGATTATCAGTCATTTCCTGTGGACTGGAAAGAAATACAGACTTGAAAGGTTTGCAAGAGCAATTTAATACTGGAGCAACTGCACTGCTCATTTTCTGTATTCATTTCTCACCAGTCGAGTTAAGATCTCTTGTGTACAAGGGAATCTGCTTATCACAGGTGGGTCTAAAGCTTTTGGTAGGAAAAATCTAAATCATTCAATTTCTTGTGGAATTGCAAAGAAAAACGCAGCTGAGGAAAAAAAAAAAAAAAAAAGAAAAAAAGAAACCAAACCTCCTTCTTCAAGTCAACACATGTAAATTAACTTTCAAGAAATATAACAAACATCTGGTCAGTCTTTCCCCTCTGCTGGTTTGAGGATTTGAGAACAACATGTTCTTTGGGCCAGAAACTGAGAAATAATAAATGAGCAAACTTGATTTGAATCTCTGTGTGCAACTGTTTTCAAAATGCTTTGCAACAGGTCAGAGAAGCCCAAATTTACTGATTTCTCTTTCTATTCATATCTGGAGCATCAGCTGACCGAGTCAACTGCCCATCTCCAGGACATGGGAGGCATGGGAAAACAGATTCTCCTCCCTCTGAGGATATCCAGAGCAAGAGTATTTGAAGGAAGGTTTATTGGGCATTAGAAGACTTTTAAGACATGTTCTAAAATATCCTCCTATGAATAAAGTGAGAACCAACATAATGAGAAAACAGTAAGAAGACGACTGAATTTTAGTTAGCCCAAGAAAAAATAATCTGAATAAACTAAAGAAAATTTTGAAACAATATAGCAGTAAGAAGAGAGGCTAGTATTTATTGCATACATTGAAGATGTTCTGATTACAAATGTATTTTAATTAACTACTTGTGACAGTATCATGGGACATTATCTGATTTTATTGTTAGCTGGGTTTCTTCCTCAAAAAATGAACTTCAACCTGAGGAGACTTTAACCTTAACAGGACTTCACACACTAGAGTTCTTGGAATAGACCACTTCCTTAAAAAACACATGAGAATCAAGTTTTAGAAGATTTTAGCTTAGTCTGTGATCTTGCAATTAATTCTGAGGTCTAGTCCTAAAGAGACATATGTATTACTAGACTTACGTACCTCAGGTAGCAATAACAGCTCACTGTTTTCTTAAGAACAAGGACTTTCTAATCAGACTGATTTTTCCTCTCCCTTTATTTTTTTTTTTTTTTTATAAGACGATTCTTATGGTGAGCTATTTGTGTTTTAAATTCAGTGTACAATATATGGACATCCAGATCTCAGCTTTTTAACACCACTGGCACATAATTAAAGACATAAAGCAAGACAAAAATCAGCAAACTGGTGACATTTCACCAATGCAAGTCATTACTCCATATAATTATTTTAAGGCCTTGAAATTTATAACCCCTCCCGTACCTTTTTAGTAGATATGCACAGCTCCAAACAAATGTCCCTAGTTGTTGCAGGGATAAATGGGTTTCATAGCCAACAAATACATGCTGGTTTGGACCAAGCTATGAGGGGAATCAAATCATAGACTCAAAGGGTGCTTAGAGAAAGTCTGTTGCTGACAACTCTCTTACACACCAGGACTGAAATTTTAGCTGATCTCAACTGTCTCAGAACTGACACAAAATATGCACAACCCCTTAAGATAAAAGATCCATCACACACGGGGCTTTGTCCTCAGACACAGTAAATGCAAAACACTTCATATATTTATACGCGTGTATGCGTGAACACACATACATTCACCCACATGTGTTTTCTATGCAAAACAAAGTCATATCATCCTATGCCAGGATTCCTGCTCAGCTTTACCATGATCTTGATTTAATCCATACTTGGACCATGCAGGCTACAGACCAGTGCAATGGATTCATCAGCCAAAGGGTAATTTACACTAGCCATTTCTAGAAACAAGACACTGATGTAAGGGTTATAGAAATCTTTGCAATGTTTTCCTTAATATCTCTGGTGGTCTGGAGTGTGCACAGAATGTAGTACCAGTGTGTAACTATCTTTTGTATCTACAGCATTGGAATGCTAACAACAAGAAAGTATGCATGTTTTTTCCTTTACTGCAGATACACAGACTACAGAAGGATTTCAAAAATAAAAATTAAAAAAAAAAATAAAATCTGCATGCTATTGATTCTCCCACACTTATTACCAACTGCTATGTCTTCTACCACAAATATTCTCTTTGATGTTAACAAGAAGGATGAGCTGCAAAGGCTGCAAGAATGCTTATGCCCATTACTGGCTTAATTATAAACTTGTCTGACTATAAACAAATGAAAAAAAAAAGTGTTTGTATGCCCTGGCCAAATTCCTAAGGCTATAAAGCAAGCATTTCACTGTTTGTCATAAGAAGCATTTTATATTGCCAGGAATGTAAACACCTGCAATAGTAAGAACTGTACCCAATAGTCATCTAGACAACAAGGTCTCTGGTGTGAATTTTAGTTATATGGATGACCTGAAACAGAAGCAAGAGAAAGAGATTCATGTATACAAGAAAGTACCGATGCCCCTTGGAAATGCTCTTTATAGGAAATACTATGACTACATCACAGAGAAGGTATCCCGATGACACCCCAACTACCTGCACTACACTGATAGAGCGATAAGGAAATAAACTGGAAGAATTTAATTCATCAAAAGTAAGATAATGGAAACCACTACTGAATACAAAACAAAACCGCTAAGAACAAGAAACAGCACTAGCTATACACAGTGCAAATATTCCAGCTATTTCCCAGGATCTAAGCAAGCCAAAATATATTGTACTCCTCATCAATTCATACTTTCCACACGTAACACTAAAAACTTATTTTTCGTAGTTAAACATTTCTGTACTTTGACATGTATTATCAAAAGAATAAATAAAACATAATATATGCTTTAATATTTGAATATGAAACGATTTCTTCAAATACGTTAGCTGTTTAATCCTGATAGTAAATTTAGGCTTATTGTTGTTTCTGTTTTCATAATTTGAACACACACATTGCCTTGAAATTTTCTTACATGGAATTGCTCCTACAGATATTTCAGCACAGAAGTCAATGCACAAACAGTATCTTCTCTGCCCCAGAATTATACCTTCACACCTCACATCAGCTTCTACTTTACAACTAAGCTGTTTTTTTTGTTTGTTTGTTTGTTTTTTAAAAATCTTACCCCGTTTCCAAAGAATCTTCTAGGAGTCCTGCAAACAATGTGATAGAAAATTTCTATTTGACTACTTCCATCCTGCGTTTTGAATGATGGTTCAGATGAGGAAGAGCTTTTTCGCTGATAAAAGTGTAATTCTGCTGTGTATTTCACACGCCTTACACGGAGACTACATCCAGGCCGATACACTGGAAAAATAATTAAAAAAAAAAATCTTTCACCATGCAGAAACATGTAAATATATCAACTGAAGCAGCAAATGTCTGTAAGGGTTTTCTTTTTTCTGCTTTTGTAACTCTTGGGCAGGATCATCAATATTAGCTGTAAAAGAAAGGATGCCTGAGCTCTGCGTTCAGGTCTCAAACATACAAAGAGGTTTGTACAGAAGCGTGAGCCTGGCAATCAAAGTTTTACAGAAACATCCATATTTTAAAATTGAGCCCTATATTGGAGTGTAGGCTGGGACGAACAAGACATTTTTAGCATACACCTTTTAACTTCACAAGGGTAACGATTCTCAAAACGATTCCCCGTACAATGATTTTATTCTTTTTGTGTCCTTTTTATCAACGTGCTGTTAGACACTTCTCTGTCTTAACCCGTGAGTTTTGTGAATGACAGATCTTTGTACCACGCGGAAAAAGCAACAGCTCGAGCAGCGTGCACGTATATTTCCAACTGCTCGCTATACAGTGAGACAAACTGTAAAAGAAAAGAAGTTATCTGCATTGTAAAGCAGGACAGCAGTATTGTTTTGCACTGTACGCCGCGTGCATTTCAGCAACGTGAAAAGGACAGACACCTGCTTTTTGACTTCCAAGTCACGTAGGCTGTAAAATAACAGAGTAAACCTGATCTGATGAATCGTCCAGCATAAGAGTGACGTTAACAGTTTCCCAAACACCTTGCAGATTATTTATTATAAAGGTTTTCTAGTATGAAGAGTAACCGTGTGACAGACAGTGGCAATACCTCACTTTGTAACTGTACAGCCTGTAAATTCACACTGGAGGTTTCCTACGGACTCTGCGCAGCGTTCAGAAAGCCAGAGATGGAATCAACATCACCAGCTTAAATCCAAGATAAATCTAATTAAGGGCTGTAGAATTATCGTGCTTTTTAACTAGAGAAGGGCCTCCTCCACAAAGCTCATCTTGGGAGAAATCCGTTCTGCAGTGTGCGAGAGAGGGGCCAAGCCTGGTGTGCTGCGAGAGACTCATCCCCATCTGCGGTGTGTATGTGGAAACGAGTCATCTCGGATGATTCAAACCTTGTAGAGACAGGAGTTCCTGTTGCTCTGCTCGCACAGATGCTTGTGGACAGCTCAAAGACTCCTGGAGCAGGGTTTGAGTATCTTGGCCATTTAATCTGTAGTGGTGATTACAGTGCAAGATTTACCTTTATAAACGCTTGTCCCCAGATAGGTTAAATATGTAAATAAACCCCCATATATATATAATACAATTAAATGTATTTTTGTATTTAAATTATATACAATAAAATTAAATATATGAAATATTAAATTAACTGTAGCCACGTAGAATACACAAACATACAACTTTCTATAGAAACACACATACTGTTGTGCTCAGCAAGCAATTTGTATAGTGGCAGGGTGATTAGTTTCTATCCATACTTCCAAACGCGTGTCTTAGAGCATTAACATATACTTTAATTACTGTGCCAAGCAGATGAGCACATAATAGCAGCTATCATTTTGGAACTTTAGAGACATGGTTCGCTATTTGAAAAAAAAAAAAACCCTTCTTAGACGAACATTTGCTTTACAAAAGCAACAGACTCTTGATCTTATCAATGTTGCTTAATTTTAAAATCAAATCACAAATGTCATGATATTCAGTATTGTTCTTAAAGCCTTGGCTCCCGCAGTTATGCAATTACAAGGCACTTAACAATTTTTTAAGACTAAGTGTATCTCTAACCTTCGTGTTTTATGCTTAAAATGTGTATCTCAGCAGCTCAAAAACCACCCAGCAAAGTAAAAGAAGCTCTACCAGCGTTCCAGCATCTTACAGCATTTAAACTATGTCATGATTTTCAAATCCAGGCTAACATTTTCCTAAATTAATACCTGAAATTAGTAACGCCACACTATTAACCCAGGAATCTGCTGTGAAGGCCAAGGCCAGGCTGGCCAACAGCATCAGCTTCTGGCAGCGTTTCTAGCTGACGGTCAGCAAAAATACCCACAGAGCTTAGACCAGCTCGGAGAGAGCAGTGCGGGCTCACGCGCAGCCATCCAGCCTGTCCCGGCTACAACCATCACGGGGACCCGCACGTGAGAGCCCCAGCGACACCCCAACAGGCCCCCTGTTCACTCACCATGACCTCAAGGCAGACAGAGTAAGGAGGAGGACCCCCAGGATGGTCGGGGCTGGAGCATCAGCCCCGTGAGAAGAGGCTCAGGGCACGGAGCCTGCTCAGCCTGGAGGAGAGAAGCCTTTGGTGATGGTTTTTCCATATCCGAGGGGAGGGTACTGAGAAGTCAGAGCCAGGTTGCTCACAGTGGGGTGTGGTGGGAGAACCAAGGGACAACACACATAAGTTGAAATATGAGAGGTTCAGGCTGGAAATAAGAAAAAAACACCCAAACTTTTCTGCATGAGGTCAGTTCAGCAGTGGAAGAGGCTGCACAGAGAGGTCGTGCAGTCTCCGTGCTCGGAGGATTTCACAGCCCAAGGGGATGAAACCCCCAGCAACCTGGTCTGACCTCACAGCTAACCCTCCTTCGAGCAGCAGGTTGGTACTAGACACATCCTGAGGTCCCTTCCAACCCGAACCACGATCCCACCATCATTCCGCGCTGCTGATCACTGCTGCCTAACTTTCGTGTTTTCTGGAGCTGGTCACTTCTCACAAGATTTTATTTGCTTTGTTCACTCCTTAGAGTCGTTACTCTTGACACCCTTCAGGCCCCAAAAGAGCATCTTATTTGACACCAGTGTCTGTTTTTTCTCAAAGAGCCAACTGTTCTTTCAGGCACTTGAATCCCAAAGTATATTAGCAAATACTCTGAAATCCGTGAGTTGATTCTGGACTGTGTTTGTTATTATGTAATGAGTAACCCTCCTACAGCATCAACACGCAAAACAGAAGGCATGAAATACCTGTTAAAATTTTTCCTCATCATGAACAAAATCCAACTTAGTTCTGGGCTTTCCCCTTATCTTTAAAAACAATACAGCCATGTATCTGACCTTGACATACTCTTTCTTCACGGGGGTCAAATCAGCTGCTAAAGCTGCTGGCATAACTGTATTCCCACTGTTTTTTTCCTGCGTATGTTCTACATTTTCAGCTCCCAAAGCATACTGTGGAGACCAAGAACAGCCCTGCGCAGGCAGGCAGCTTCCACACATAAAAGAAAACCAAAGCACATGCACAGCAAGACCCATGAAGTAGATCTCCACACGTGTACCTGTTTTTACGACTACTGTAACACAGAGCGTAACAGCATAAACACAATATACAAAGGAACTGGGAAGCAACAGGGTTGAGCCAACTACAACTTCAACTGACATTTGAAAATGCTCGTTTGGCTCTTGCATGAGGTCCTGGGTACATATTGATGCACAGAGTTTATTATTCAAGTCTAAAAATAGTGAACTCATTAAAAAAAAAATTTACTAGGAGTAGTAAGAAATACACAGTTGTAACAGGCCACCCCAAAGCACTACTAAAACACAGTGAGCACAAACCTGCTATACATTTATCAGAAGACCACCTTCCTAAAGCAACCGATTTTCATCACTTCCTGGAGTGCTTTTGCTTGATTTCTTTTTCTTGTCCAGCTGTGCCCTAACTTCATTTTACTAATGTATATAATTTTCCCTAAGAAAAGATTAAGCGGGCAAATCAGGTTCCTGCTCCTGGCACCAAGATATTACTGAGCTCCATCAGCTATTAAGGGCCTCCAAACTATGGCAAACAAGTCCTGTCCCCCGTCCCCCCACCCCAAGGCTCATTTAGGAAAAAAAATACAAAAACACAGGTCTACTCTTGCCAAAGTGTCTGCCTCTTACATTCATAGAAACCTGTCTCAGAAGAAAAAAAAAACCAAATCTTTATTATGTATGAGGTACAGACCATCTGCAGTGGGCTCCGAGAGCCAACTTAAAAGAAGTGGGAGGGAGGGCAGTGTTCCCAGCTGCACTGCCAGTGAGTGAAGAGCGTGAGACTCAGAAGCTGTTTGTGAGTAGGAAAGAGATGGTGGGTCAGCATGAAGGAGGATGTACAAGATCTGTCATCATAAAGGATGAAAAAAATAAAACAAAACAACAAAAACCCAACCCCAAACATTGTTACATACATAATGTGTGTAGGGGTATACGGAGAAGGGCAACAAGAACAAAGAAAATCCGGTGAAGACACAAAGATCAGCCCATAAAATAAGTTTTCTAGGAGTGCTCTCACCCTGTCTCTGTGGTGGAAGAAGCACACGGAAGGTAAGAAGGGATGATAATATTATTACTCCAGTTGTAATATGCACCACTGAGCTCTTCGTGACATGGGAAGTAAGAATGGCAACAGAAGTAAACTGGCAGCAATGAAGAGTTTGAGGAGGTTTGCTTTTTTTACTCATTCTTTTAAAGCATTAAACACAGCTTTCCACATCAGTCTTACAAACCTGCCTGCTTCTCCTGACACCTCTTTTCACTGCTGCCACTGCACATACCCATATTAGCTATTTACTAGTATGAACACCATTACAGCTCAATAGTGTTTCATTTCTAAAAATGAAAAAAATAACCGTTTTTTAATTTTAACCACTGAAACCTAGTTACATTTAATCTTCCCACCAAAAAAAACCCAAAACAAACCCACCAAACCAACTCATGAGATTCTAACTTCTAGCAGCTTGCCTATGCATTTCTGTGTTTGTAGTTCAATAAGGTTACACGAGCTATAATCCAACGGCGATTAGGTAGATAGGAGTAAACCTTTCGAAGTGACTATTGCTGATTCTGTCAGGAAGCAAATCTATTTACCCCTCTATTCAAGCCAAGAATCGTCCCAAGTATTTGTCCTGTTATGTAAAAATTGACTGGCTTTTTAAACACTCCAAATTGAACCCTGGTTTTACTGACCCCCTTGGCTAAAACCCCGTTTGTGTCTCTGGGGACGGGATTTCACCTGGAATTTGAATCTATATACGGGCTGATGCTGG